GGCGTTGATCTCCTTCTCGGCCGCCTTGGCGCCGGCGTACATCTGGGTCCCGTCGAACTGCATGATGGTATCAGCCATGTTGTAGTACATGCCGAGTTTGATAAGATTGGGCCGAAGCAACTCGCCACTGACACAAAAAGACATCACGATCGCCGTGACTCCGATGGTCCAAAGGAAGGATGTTTGCATATTATGTTATGGGTGTGTGTTTGGTTGTTATGTGCTTAAAGTCACGTGTCTGGCTTTTCAGCCTTTGTGCTGAATTGCAAAGAAAAAAAATGAAATGCGGGGGAAAGAGGAGGCGGACGTTTCATCTTGTAAAAATTGTTGAAAGCGCTAGCAATAATTTGATCGCGGTTGGCGCGAGATTTTCTCGTTGATGCTTGTTTGCTCGTTTGTTTGATCGTCGTTGCGGTCATCATAACTATTACCACACGAAATCCCGCTCATAATACGAATGATCAAAAAACAGAACCTCATACAACCCTCTCGTAATGAAAAGGCTTTTTGAGTTCGCCCGACCGTCACGTTTAGACGGCGACAGCACACAGCAACAATCGAGAAAAACAAAATGCTTTTGGTTAAAAAATCTACGCACTCTCGATGTAATGTTCGAAGATGTTTTTTTATTGTTTGTTTTTTTATTTTTTTTTTGAAGGTGACCAAGACACGCCGCAGTGCAGTAAAAACACAACGAGGTGAGTATGGTGTAGCGATTGTGTTCTTGTCATTGCTATCACACATTTTACACACACATGGCGTGCGGGGAGAGTCTTGGCATGAGAGGATGTCGGTGATTATATATCAGCCTCTCATGGACATTTAAAAGGGACCGGAGGTAGTACAGCACACGATGGGAAGGTCTAAATGCAGCTCGCGCTCAGGTGCGTTGTTGGGGGTCCGTGATCGAAACAGAAATGCGCACTAAATCGCAACAAGCGGGAGCATCAAAAAAGAAAAAAATCATTCTTACAAGCACAAGAAGGTTGAAAAAAAAGAAACTTGCACAACGACAAGTTCTTCGGCCACTTCACAAAAAAGCAATACGCAACAACGTTGTGTAGGGAGGGTTGGAGTCAGAACCCTTCAAACAAAAACGAAAAGCATCGAAATATTATATTGTCGATTACGCGACGCTGTCATCCGTTGGGACAACACTGACAACACTCACGGAGCTCCGCTTGTGGAACATACGGCGACCAACAGAAGAATTCGCATCTGTGCGCGTTCCCGCGCTCTTCGTGGTCCCCGCACGCCGCGCCTCCTCCGCAGCAAGGCCGGCACGCGCAACAAGCGCAGTCAGGTCGTACGACAGCGTCAGCTCCGCCGCCTCCTTCTCGCGCGGCTTCCGGGCGTGCACGTGCCACTTCTTCAGCAGCGTCTTCACCGTCTCCTTGCGCCACCTGTCGCCCGAA